TTGTGAGGCTTTGGGAAAGGACCATTGTCTCCAGAGGATGGACCCCTCAGGGGAGTTCTTTGTGAAGGTCTTTGTTAAGGGCTCATATGCTTAAAACTCTAAAACCCTTTAAAACAGCTCAGCCTGGAGTTTCATCCACTTTAGTGTTCCTAGTGTATAATGAATTTGAATGAGACTTTAAATAACGAACACTACTCTTCAAATTCAGGGTACAATCAGTTTTCTTAACTGCTACTTCCCAAAAACTTATTTAATTTCAAAACACCCCCTGGGAAATAGAAAAGCATTGAATATTTTTCAGACTGTTACTCTCCTCTGAGTGTTCAGGTGGTTAATTGGATGGTAGCTCTAGATTTGACTCAGTTCCAAAACATGTGAATAACAACATGCTTATTTCTGAATCTGGTCACTGGTCTAGGCTACATTTAACAAGCTGGCCACTCAATTCTTATAATATCTCGTCTTTAGAATATCCTCAATAATGCCCTTTCACAAAGGCTCTTTTGAAAAACACCTCTAGTCCTATGATTCTCAAACTCTACAGTGTTTAGGAAGGAATCACTTGAGGATCTTGTTAAAATGCAGATTTGAATCCATCTGGTTTGGGTGAGGCCTGAGATTCTGCATTTCTCACAAGCTCCCAGGTAATGCTGATATTATGGGTTCATGGTCACACTTGGAGTAAGAAGGGTCTAATCCACTCCAAAAAAATCACCTGTCTGCTTATATTGCTGTCTTCCTGTAAAAACATTTTATGGCTGTCTGCCCACAGCTTACCTGGGAAAGTCCAAACTCTCTTGCAAGAAATCAGAGCCCTTCACAATGTAACTCCAATCTAGCTCCAGCTCCACTGGCTCCCATCACCCAACATGCACATTATGAAGCAACCACACTAATTCTGTGTTGTTCCCCCCACATTCTATATCCACTGTATTTCCTTAACAAATTACAGCCTCACTGTAATTTGGTCCCACTGTTCCCTTTGCCTGGAGGCTCTACTGCCAAATCTTCACCATCCTTTAAGGCCCAGTTCAAACGTCACCTCCTCCAAGAGGCCTTCCCCAAACCCTCTAGAAACAAAGTAATTCTTCCTCCCACCAAACCTTGCACCTGGCATTCAAATACCTACACTGGTGTATCTAGTTTTCTAAAAAGTTATGACCCATCCAATTAAATTATAAAGCTACATGAAGCCTAACTCAGGAGTTAAAAAGATACTCGGTTTTCCAATGCTCATATCCTTGGCTCCTGAAGAAAGGAATCCATCAATAAATTCTCCGAGGAGTTACAAATTCCATGGGATTATCCCCCATAAGTAATATTTAACACCAGTGGTTTCAGGCACCCAGGCACACATCCCATCTACTCAAGAACATCACTCCTTGAGAGAAAGAAAGAAACAATCACAGTAATACGTTCAACTTTTAGAAGGAGAGAACAGAATTGTGATTACTAGAAGTGGAAAGGGGGAGATTAATGAGAAATTAATGAGAAATTGGTTAATGGACACAGAATGATTACATATTGTAATGATGAATAAGCTAACTATCCTGATTTGATCATCACACATTGTACACAACTATTGATAGTCAACTTTGTACCGCACAAATACGTATAATCAATTAGGCTACGATAAAAAAAGGTATATTTGTGAGGTGAAGGATATGTTAATTAGATCGATTAATCTATTTACAATATGCATATATCAAAACATCACATTGTACACCATAAAAACATATAATTTGTATATTATACTTCAATAAAGCTGCAGAAAAAATAAAAAAGAACATCACTCCTTCAGTGGCCCCACCCCTGCATCATGGATGTTTTTCCTAGATCATTCCTATCAGCATAAACGACATTCCATTTTTAAAAAAACACACATACAAATGGAACTGAGACCACCAGAGGTGGGAGGGGGGGCGAGGAGGGGGATAGGCAGAAATTGGCAAAGGGCCACAAATAATGTTTATGTTGCACGATGATAAAATTTTTTTAAAAATCTATACAATGAATAAAACCTCCCTTGTCCCCAGATTACCCTTATCCCATTTCTCTACTCTCCTTTACAGCAAAACTTCTCCTTTAACAAGACTCCTGTCCCCATTTCGTCCCCTTCATTCTCTCTTAACCCACACTTCCATCCATCAAAACCATGCTTGTTGAGGGTCATCAACACTGCAGCGTTGCCAGGCAAAGGTCACTTCCCAAACTCCTCTCACTTGATCCATGAGCAGCATTGGACAAAGTGGGTCATTCCCACCCTGAAATCCTTTCTCCACTTGTCTTCTGAGACACAACCTCTTTCTTGTCCTCCACCTCTCCCCACCAGCTGTTCTGCTCCAGTCTCCTCTGCCAGACCCTCTACTTTCCTAATTCTAAACGCTGGAGGGAACCAAGGCTCAGTCTTTGGACCTCTCTTTTCTATCTACACTTGGTCCCCAGGAGGTCACCTCCAGCCCCATAGCTTTAAATACATGTATAAAGTAAGGATGCCCACAATTATACCTCCGCTACAGACCTCTCCCTGAAATCTAGACTCCTCCAATTACCTCAAAATTCGCATATCTGAGACTAAACTATTGACTCATACCTCCCTCCAAACCTGCCCCCACCCCCAGTCTTTCTAGTCTCATGAAGCCGAGGTTCTGTTCTGTCAGGTGCTCCCAGCACAGCCCTGGGAGGCACCCTGGCCTCCTCTCACTCTCAGGTGGCCCGTCCACTCCAGCACAAGCTGCCAACAGCACCTTCCAGATCTCTGTAGAAGCTGAGCATCTCCACTGCTACTGCTGGGGCCACAGTACCATCAGCCCTTGCCTGGGCCCTTGGAAGGGTTGTAACCAGGCTCCCTGCCCCTGTACCCACTGCCACAGTCTATTTTCCACACAGAATCCCAGCAAGCCTTTTTTTTCCTTTTCCTTTTTGTCTTTTTTACTGACTGGCAACGGGATTGCAACCCTCGATGTTCCGCCTGTACCGCGCTCAGCCAGTGAGCGAGAACCAGTCTCCACATGGGATCCGAACCCTCGGCGGGAGCGCCGCCGTGCTCCCAAGCGGCGCACACTCCAGTGCGCCACCGGGCCGGCCCCCAGCAAGCCTTTTAAAATATGAGTCAGGCCATAGCACTGTTGTCAAAAGTTTCTAAGCACTTCTTACCTTCCTCAGAATTGACTTCCCTGTCCTCCCCCAAATCCTGGGAGTGGCCCTGTGATCTGGGCCCCACCACCTACAGATCTCATCCTCCACCACTTGCCGCTTCCCTCCCTCTGCTCCAGCCTCACTCACTGCCTGCTGTTTCTGGAACACTGTTCCTGCCTCAGAGCCTTTCCCGTGCTCTCTCTGCCTGGATATTCACAAGGCTCAGCTCACACCTCATTCAGGTGTGCTCCTGTATCACCAGACCAAAGAGCCCATTCCTGGCACCCCATGTGAAACCTCACTCTCCATCGCGATCTAGTGCCTTTACTCTGCTTCACTCTTCACCTTTCTGTGTGTAGTCTTTGTCTCTCTGCTAAAACAAAAACTTCATAAGAGCTGGGAGGTGTTTATTTTGTTCACCTGTTTATTTTGTATCCCTTAGCACAGTGCCTAGCAAATAGTAGATGCTCAATACATTTTTACTGGATGATTAAATGAATATTGTTAGATAATCAAAAAGTCTGTGTTCGCATGCATTATGGAAAAAAAATCATGGCAGCATTCCAAAGGAAGAAAACACCACTAGACTACACATTCTTTTAAGATACTGCCTTGACAGCTTGCAACACACAGAAAAGACACACTCACTTCCTGATGACTGTCTTGGACTCTGATGAACTCTGGCTTCCGTCTTCTTCACAGTTTGGGCTTGTCAGGTCTCCATACCTGTGTAGAGAAAAGCAAACCAGCAAGTCAGCAGTGCTGGAAAGCACCTCTATTCAACTTCAACCACAAAATGACAGTCATGCTTTCTAAGAGTAATTAAGAAAGGAAATACTTATGAAATAGCATCAAGAATGATGCAGTATCACCAATAGTTACTTAGTGGGTATATCTGTAGATTTTAAACAGAAAAATTGATTTAACAATTACACTACTTAAAACTTTTTCTGGATATTTAACATTGCTTTGAATCTTTTAGATGAGGTTCTTCCTTTCAGCAGGAGAATCAGATATTACACGATGAAAAGAAGGCAGATTCCTTGTGAACTCTGTAGCCCACCACACCCTGCACTCCTGCCTCTCTGCTGGGTACATTCAAGGGAGACATGGCTCTGTGTGCACAGCTTCTACACTCGTGCCACACAAGCAAAAAATGATGGCTCTAGGCTACACTAAGGAATCTGGTCTCCTTAAAAGTAAGTCCTGTTGGAGAAAAGTTATAGAAATAATTCTGGACCCTCAAATAAAGGCTGGGATAAAGATAAGGACTGCAGGATGGAGTTCTCATATCTCAGCAATGAGGAGAGCAGCTGTGGGTACACTGAGGCCAGGCCACTCTAGACAGCACTGGGGAGGGGGACAGAGGAGTCCAATTTTTGGAAAAGCAATGGGTGCTTACATTTTAGAATTTCCCTCACTAAAAACTCAAAATGTACTAAATCATAGATTAGTCTCCAATTATGCTGTTAGCTGTTCTTCCAGTCCTACATGGAAGCAAGCCTATTTCATGCAAATACATCATGCTTTTTTAGTTCAAATGTACATTTAGTAAATTCACTTCAAATCCTTAAGAAGGAGGTCTTTATATTAACTTATAATGCCTAAACTATTTCTGCAGTTTCTTTTCCGTCAATAAAGAATTCAGAGACTACTCGGACCTTCACAAGCTGATTGTCTATCCCAAAGTTTTGATAACAGATAATCTATAATTGGTGGGTTTACATTTTTAAAGAGCACACTTTTATTTTCTACTAATGGGATTAAAGGCTCCGGTATCCTTATGGTTTCTTGTTCCTAGGACTGACAAATCATTTTAAAAATAAAAGCCCACCATCTGGTTTGACCAAATGCCAGCCCATCTGGCCTATCACCCATCCCGGTAGCTTGTGTCCTTAGGCACTAGCCTCCCCTGCCCCCACCTGCTCCTTTCTCTAATTCATCAGCCTTATGGACTTCTTGGCCTCCCGAAGACATTTCCCACCGGTCTCTGCCCTCTTTGGTCCTCTTCATTCTGTTCCGCACGTGCTCTTTGGAGGACTTCTAGGTCTACCCTTTGCTCTTCCTGAGATAAGAACTCAGATTAAGGTTTACTCAACCCCATGTGAGCAAGGCAGGGATGGGAAACAAGGTTCCTGGTAAATAAACAGAGTAGAATTTTGTGACCTCTGTTCTGGGCCACCATCATAGAGAGGTATGTCCTCATGATGTCTCACAACAGGCTTTGTGGTTTATATAAGTAGAAAAGACTGGAGTGGGTGTGTAAAGAGTGGTGCTCTCGGAGAGGGCCTCGCACCTGTCTGACTACTGTGATCCATACGCTCCTCCCGCCAGCCCTCAATCACTAATGCTGGAACTTAGCCTCTGTTTGGGGCACATTCCATGCTAGTCCATTAATTCTCTCTCTCTGGTTATTCTGGAGACATCACATCTTGTCTCTTCCAAATGGAAGTTCTGAGAGATAGAAGTAAAAGGGGGAAATGCTTATAAGGGAAAGATACACATTTCACTGCTCCTGATTTTTTTCTTTTCAGAGAGGTTTATACTAAAAGTTTCCAGATCTTCCTGTTCTTTGTTTTTACTTAGTTTCTCATAGTCTCCTACTCTTTTTTTGCAATTTTTCAGACTCAGAGCTGAGGTACAGATATGGATGGCACCAATGCCTATTACAGTTCCTCCTCTAGAACGTGAGGCCACAATGTGCAATCAGGTGGTGTCGAGAACGACTAAGCAACTTACACAAGTGAGCAAAGTTCTCTCTCATTGATTAACCTGACACCACCTGCACTGGCTCAGAGGTCACATAAGTATTTCCTCAGGCTACTGGAGTGTCTACCGGTTCAGTTAGGACCAGAGTGGTTGTTTGATAATAATTTGGATGCCAGTAGGAGCCACTGATAATCAGGCACATGGGGCAGGGCACATGTGCAGGCTCAAGTCTTGCAGACATTCTGGCTCTTCTCCACCCAGCCCATCAGGAAATCCTTTTGGCTCTGCCTTTTCAACATATGCTACATCCAAACACTTCTCATCACTTCCATGCTGGTCCAGACCACCACCCTCATCAGCGAGATCAATGTAACAGCCCCCTAACTAGTCTCCCAACTTCTGCCCAGCAGCCACAGTGACAAAAGGGCAACCTCACCGATCTCATAAGACCCTAAATGATCTGCCTGATACATACTGATGGAGTTTGGATGTGTCGTCTCCTCCAAAACTCATGTGGAAATTTGATCCCCAATGTGTCAGTGTTGGAAACTGAGTCATGGGGGCGGATCCCTCTGAATAGATTAATGAGTAAGTTCTCGCTCTATTAGTTCCTGCGAGATCTGGTTGTTTAAAAAGACCCTGGCGGCCAAGCTCGTGGCGCACTTGGGAGAGTGTGGCGCTGGGAGTGCAGCGGCGCTCCCGCCGCGGGTTCGGATCCTATACAGGGATGACCGGTGCGCTCACAGCGCTCACTGGCTGAGCGCGGTGTGGCCGGTCTCAAAAAGGACAAAAAAATAAAATAAAATAAAATAAAAAGACCCTGGCACCTCTTCTCTCTCTCTCTTGCTTCCTCTCGCCATATGATCTGCTTGTACCCACTGCTTTCCACCATGAGTAGAAGCAGCCTGAGGCCTGTGCCAGATGCTGCTTTCCCAGAATCATAAGCCATATAAACCTCTTTTCTTTATAAATTACCCAGTCTCAGGTAATTCTGTTATAGCAACACAAAACGGACTAAAACAGAAACCCTGCCCACACCTCCTACAATTCCCCTCCCCCACCGCCTTCCAGCCTCGCAGGCCTGCTTGCTGCTCCAGCCACATGCCAGGCCTCCCTCTGCCCAGAATGTGCACTTGCTGCTGCCTCTGCCCACACCTAAGCCAATGGCTCACTCCCCAGGCTCCTCAGGGCTTTGCCCAAATGTCTCTTCATCAGGGAAGGCCTTCCCCGACCACCCTATATAAAATACAAACCAGTTCAAACACCATCTCCTTCCCTGCTTTATTTTTCTCTATGGCTTTTAACACCTTCTAATATACTGTAGAATTAATTTCATTTTGTGTTAATTGTCCATTAGAACATAAAGTCCACTCAAGCAGGATTTTTGTCTCTTTTTCTCAATGTCCTTTAGAGCTTAAAACAGTGCCTGGCCCCCAGCAAGCACTTGATGGCTATTTGGTGTGAACAAATGAGTGGTCCAGTGGGGTTCTAGAAGCAGACATGATAAACGAAGCTCCTGACCACTAGATTCACACTCGTCTCTGCAAAGGCACCCTCTGGCCTTTGCTTATACAAGTGCCCTGACCTGGCTGTGCCTTCATTTCAAAGGGTTTAAGAGCATCATAAAAAAGCCTAAAATAGCGGTGATTATTCCAAAAATCTAAAATTAAAATAAAAAAGAAAGTTTTAATATGTTGAAGCTGAGATCTTGAGAGTACAAGCAGTATGAAAATGAAAAAAAAAAAAATATATATGCACTGTTACAAAAGAGGCTGTTAGAAGTAAGATCAAATTAAAGAGCCTATACCCCTCTGGAACTTAATGGCCTGGAGTGAAGATGATTATTTACCCCCACACCTTTCTTATTAAGGAGAATTAATGCTTTACAGAAAAGAAATTAGACTAGCGTTGGAATCAAGGACTCTTTCATGTTCAAGCCAGTCATTTGAAAGTCAGTTTTACCAGATTAAGAACATTTCTTTGATGTTTCTCAGGACCCTCTCATAGCTTCCCATCAAAAATCAAAGTCAGGTTCAATTTGGGGCCGGCCCGGTGGCGCTCCCGCCGAGGGTTCGGATCCCACATACAGACCGGCCGCTCACTGGCTGAGCGAGGTGCGAGCGCAACACCGAGGGTTGCGATCCTGTTGCCGGTCCCGGTCCGGTACGGGCGCGACACTGAGGGTTGCGATCTGTTGCCAGTCACGAAAAAAAGACAAAAGGGGAGGAAAAAAAAAAAAAAAAAAGTCAGGTTCAATTCATTTACTCCAGGGGAGTAAAATAAAGGGTATGTATGTGTGTGTGTTTAATTAATGGCAGTAGAATAGCTACAGACAAACCTGTCAACAATGTCACCTCCGATTTCTGCAAAGCCTCCCTAGGATTTAAGATCAAAGCTCCAACCTCTTAAGAAGGCTTACCAATGAGCAACTGCCCTTCTTTAAATGGTAACTCATAAAAATTAAATCAAATACAAATTGTCAGAATGACTTTTGACATGGTTTTCTCTATTATCACAAGGCAAAAGAAAGATTTACAAATGTCTCCCAAAGTACAGTCTTAAGCAATTATTTACTGCAGCCTAAAAATTACTAGAGAAAGAAAAGAAAAAAAAAACCAACGTAATGTTTAACTGGTTGCTGATATTTAAACAGGAAACAGTTGTTTCCAAAGGGGATGTCTGTATTTTTTGGACCCTATCTGGGCAGATGAAAAGTTTAATTATGTGTTTGCATGGAGAGGACCAGAGACATTTGTAGTTCAAAGAAACCCTAAGAGAAAGTCATCCTCAGGGATAGTCTCTCTGGCGGGGGCATTTCTAACCTTTGCTCCCTGACAGGAAACTCTCAGTAACACCAAACCAGGATGGGGGTGATTCTGAAGAACTTTTCAGGGCCGGCCCGGTGGCGCACTGGATGGGTGCGCCGCTTGGGAAGCGCGGCGGCGCTCCCACCCGAGGGTTCGTATCCCACATACAGACCGGTTCCCGCTCACTGGCTGAGTGAGGCGCGGGGGCAA